GGGGGGCAACGGGGCTGCAAGGCCGCGGAGAGGCGCGTCCGGCCCGGCCGGGCTGGCGCGAGATACTGTTTGATATGAGTTCCGGGGAGGAAGTTTATTGAACGGTGTGGTTTGACTAGCAGCAGCCGTGTGTGCGTTAAGGGGGCGTACAGAACGTAACGTCCGTCATTCAACGTTTTTACGAACCCGCCAAGTTGATGCGATGGCCGAACTAAAGCTCTCAAGGCGCCTGGTACGTAGGCAACATCTCGCCTGCAGTGCATGCGCGTACTGCGGGCTGGCCTACCCCGAGTCTCACAGGCGCCGAGCTACCAGCAATGATCCCCTATAGTAGTAGTAGGAAAGGCGGTCGGAACGATGATTTGTGAACTCGTGGAAGGACACGCTATTTGACAGGTGGCTTGGGGGGGGGGGGGTCACAACTATCACAGGATCTCTTTGGACTCCAATGGTGTTCCTAAGATCATTTTAGGACCCCATAATATTTGTACACCCCCCCCCCCACCTCCCCATCAAGGAACGTGTAGTATTTGAACGACCCGCCTTTTGCTTTGCAGTCCAAGTGCCGAGGGAGGCGCGCTGCGACTTCCAGCACGACATGTGCGGCTTCACCGCGACGCGCCCGCCCAACCAGAAGTCACGGATGGAGTGGACGCGCGTCAACGGCAGCACGCCCATCCACCGGCGGGCCCTGGACCACACTTTCCTCAACGCCTCAGGTCGGTGCACGAGCCACGTAGCTATTTTTTTATTTATTTTTTTTGCTTCAAAGCTATTTTGCATTTTATTTGCTATGCTATTTACATTTCATTTTAGCTACATAGCTAAATGTTGATCTATACGCGTTTAGCTACATAGATAAATAATTGTAAGTCCAGTATTTAGCTATTGGTTTAGCTAATCTTTTATTTTCTGTTATGGTTACATAGGGATGTACCTGTACGCCAAGTCCGCCGACGAGCCCATGGGCTCGGAGGCCCTGCTGGACAGCGCCGTGTTCAACCCACCGCCTCCCTGCCACCGCAACGCGACCTCCAGGTTCAAGAACTCGTGCGAGGTAAGCGTTTCAGTTTCACACGACCGCGTTTGTCACGTTGGACCACAGGATATTTTTTTTTTTTTTATCACCTCGATGTCTTTCTCCCTCTCTCTCGCCCCGCGCAGATCCGCTTCTTCTACCACCAGTTCGGGCCGCACAGCGGCTCGTTCGCCGTCACCGTGTACGAGTTCTGGCCGCGGAACAAGAAGAAGTCGTACCAGGTCTTCTGGAACTACGGCGACAAGAAGTCGATCTGGACGCAGGTGCTCATCATCCTGCCGCACGTCAAGTACAAGTACCAGATCCACATGGAGGCGCGGCGCGGGCTGCGCGCCTCGGACCTGGCCCTGGACGACTTCACGCTCAGCCCGGAGTGCTTCGGCCTTGGTGAGTCCAACAACACCGACTTGTACTTTAACCTCACTCAATAAAGTCAGTGTGCACCCTTAGAAAATCGAAAAAAAAACAATAAAAAGATTTCGGAAAAGATAAAAAAAAAAAGACAATCAGAAAAATTTTGGTAGAAAAACAGGAAAATTGGTTAGCGTTTACGCTTGAATTGTTGCTCTTTCATGCAGGCATACCGAAGGAGGAACTTGGCGACTACAACTACGCTACTGCAGGGAAAGTGGATGGTAAGCAGACTGGGGCATCAAACCGGGTCACCTCCAAATTTCCTCTTGTTATGAAATTATTTTTTACACGATTTTGTTTTCTTATTCTTCTTCAGAACCCGTGGAGCACGCGGAGCATCGTGATTTCGTCAACAAAACTAGTAAGTTTTGCGACAGCGCGGCTTTAGAACGGCGTTCACTCGTCACTCCACTGTAAAAAAATATCTACAGCATTAACAACAATTTTAAACTGTTAATTAAAATAACGGTGGTATGCTTTTAATTTTTTTTCCTCTATCCTACGGTTTACAATGCATTTTAACCGTCCCGGACTGTACTTTCGCACCGTATAATGTAGGATAGAGCACAAAATTTAACAGAGCACCGCGTTTTTTCCAATAAACAGTTTAAAACTATCGTTAACGCTGTAGAGTTTTTTAAACAGTGATCCGCAGAAGGTGCGTGTGTGTTCTTCATGTGCCGAAGCCCATTTTTATATATTTCCTCTTGCAGTGTACCGGTTTTCGACGTGCGGCGCCAAGGGCATGTCGGGCCCTAGCCAGGACAGGTGCTCGTCCTTCTACAACGGCACCAACACCAACGTGACGGTGCTCGACGCGCCGTTCGCGGGCGTGCAGCGCTGGGTCGTCCCCGAGACCGGACCGTACACGTGAGTATCATGCATCGACATAGGGTTCCAACCAGCCCTGGAAATTTTCAAAAACAAAAATCGCAAATTTTTCGTAAATTTCCCATTCTATTTATGCGAGCTAGAGAGGACTAAAGTGGCCGTGCTTAAACGAAAGGTGTACCTTACCTTTGTAGGGTGGCGGTCAGTTTATTGTCCTCGCAACGACCCTTTGATTAAGTTCAAGGCTGGCTACTTAGGGCCTTAATCATTTTTCTGACGCATACCACCGCCAGGAAAGCCGTCAGCCCCCCCCCCCCTTTTGTAAATCTATTAGCAACGCCTTGTTAATGTTATAACACCTCAGTTTAAAAGGAAAAGTGCCCACGAAAAACGACACCCAGCCCACTCTCTGGAAATGGCTCAATTTGTGGTGCACGCCCCTCCCTGCTGGGCATCACTCCCTCCAGCCAGCGTCCCCCGGTGCGATTCAGCTTTGATGTGGTGCCGTTGGGAGAGAGAGGGGGGGGGGCGGGGAGGAGAGGGGCAGCTTTCCAGGTCGCCGGAAACCATATTGTGTCGCCCAGGTGGTTGTTTTGTATACTTTGAATGCGGTAGCGCGAAAACAGGGGGGAGCTTCGGGGACAGAAATGGGGGCAGGGGGCGAGGGCGGGAGCGGGAGCGGGAGCAGGAGCGGGAGCGGGAGCAGGAGAGGGAGCGGGAGCTGGAGCGGGGGGAGCGGAAGCGGGAGCGGGAGCAGGAGCGGGAGCGGGAGCGGGGGGAGCGGAAGCGGGAGCGGGGGGAGCGGAAGCGGGGCCAGGAGCGGGAGCGGGAGCGGGAGCAGGAGCAGGAGCGGGAGCAGGGAGCGGGAGCAGGAGCGGGAGCGGGAGCAGGAGCGGGAGCAGGAGCGGGAGCAGGGACGGGAGCGGGAGCGGGGGCGGGAGCGGAAGAGCTGGGCCGGGAGCCGGGACGGGAGCGGGAGCGACAGTCCACCGTGCCGGGCGGTCCCTGTTGCTGCTTGCTGTACGTGGGTTGGTTGGGGACGGGAATGTGCGGAGAGGGGCAAAAAGGAAAACAAAGAGAGGATCAGCGAGAAAAGGGAAAAGAAAAGAAGGTGGTGGCAGGAAAGAAGAAGTATCAGGATCAGGCAAGTCGGGCTGCGGATGATGGGGAGATAAGGTAAGCACCGTGACAACCTCCCTAAACGAGATCTACGACCTCGTGCTAACGCGACCCAGCGCTGTCGCCGCCGACGACGTGGGAGGCTGAGGAGGAAGGGGAGGAGGCGTCACAAAGAGAGGGAGCGGCTCCGGGATCTAAAAGAGTGAGAGAGGGAGTCGAGCCAACGACCCCTCTCTGCGTACAGCCACAGGCAGCCTCGACGCCTCTCTCCATGGCGCGGCATCAACGCGTCTAGCTCTACCCACCCCGCGGGACTCACCCTCCGTATATCCGTCCTCCCTTCCCCCTCACCAAGTCCTCCCCTCTAGACCTTCCTCCCAACCTCAGCGGACTGACTCGGCCGACACACGCGAGTGCGGAACTGAATGATTCTTCATCGAGTTGTGCGATTTTGCCGGTTTAGCGGTACTGTCACCCCGAGATGTTACCGGCGACCATGACATGTCCCACTTCTTCTACGAAACAGGAAGCAGCCTCTAGCCCACACCCTTCCCGCCCCCGCTCGGAGCCTCGGGCAGGGCGTTCTCCAGGAATGCCGACCCGACTCGGCACTATATATCCCACGCCCGGCCCCTGGGAAATAGGATTCCCAGACATTCACCATCGACCGCGGGGCAACGCACCTACTCGCTCTCTCGCTCACTCGCTCTCTCGCTCTCTCTCTCTCTCTCTCTCTCTCTCTCTCTCTCTCTCTCTCTCTCTTTTCTACGCGGCGGATCATCCTCCCGCGCGGTGCCAATC